AGTATTTTGTAGAACGAGTGTTTTACAAAGCTGCGAAACGCATGCAGCCCCAAGCATCGGCATTCTTTCTTTTATGTGTGAAACATTATAATATAAATTATAATCAATACGAAACAAACGATATATACATTCGTGGCCTCTTGCTGCTGATACTGCTCCTTCTGCTGCTGCTGCTGCTGCTGCTGTTGCTGCTTCTGCTGCTCCTGCTGCTGCTGGTTCTGCTGCTCCTTCTGCTGCTGCTGCTGCTGCTGGTACTGCTGCTGCTGGTTCTCCTGCTGCTGCTGCTGCTGGTTCTGCTGGTCCTTCTGCTGCTGCTGCTGCTGGTTCTTCTTCTTCTTCTGCTGCTGCTGCTGCTGCTGCTGTGTCTGAAGTCTCTGCTCTGACAGCAGCGATGAATTTTGCTGCTGCTGCTGCTGCTGCTGCTGCTGCTACAGGATCAGCAGCAAGAGCAGCAGCATCAGCAGCAAAAAACTCCAGCATTCTCTTCTCTTGTTCAATAGAATGATTTATATCATTCTCTTCTGACCCTAAACCCTCACCAGGGGGCCCCCCGGGGGCCCCTGTACCCTCACCAGACCCTAAACTAGAACAAGTAGCAACACACTTTACACCACCAACCCCACCATCTAAACCCTCACCCTTGACTGCAGGATCAGCTCCTACTGAGTCAGGGGCCCCCTGAGGGGCCCCCTGGGGGCCCCCCTCAGACCCTTGGGGGGCCCCCTCAGACCCCTGGGGGGCCCCCTCAGACCCATGGAGGGCCCCCTGGGGGGCCCCCTCAGACCCCTGGGGGGCCCCTTGGGGGGCCCCCTGAGAGCGCTGGGGGGGCTTTGCAGACTCAGGGGGCCCCTCGGGGGCCCCCTGAGACAGCTGAAGGTTTTGGTGAGTCATTTTGTTTGTTACGAATGTTTGTGGGGGGTAGAGCGGCGCATCGGTTGTTTTTTTTTTTTATGTTGGTGGGAGCTGAAGAAAAAGAAAGAAATGCAGAATACAGCGGAGAATTTATATTNTTTTTTTTTTTATGTTGGTGGGAGCTGAAGAAAAAGAAAGAAATGCAGAATACAGCGGAGAATTTATATTTCTTTTGTGGGTTGAGGTGTACGTACACCTCAAGTTGAACGCGGTGTATGTACACCCCAAACTCCTTTGAAATGCCAGTGCTAGTATAGAAGAAGAAACGAAGGAAAGGAGGGGTAAATGCAGCTCGGCGGGACAGAGGAGATGCACCTGAGTTTAAAAGAACAAATAAATAAAATATAAATAAATATAAATCAAAAAAACACAAAAAATAATGAAGAAACCAAAGAAACACCGACGATCGGTTCAGGGGGCTGCGCTCGGGTTTCCCGCATGCAAGTGCATGCGATCCGCGGTTTTGGGGCTTTTTTATTGAATTATTTTTAATATATTTTAATAAAAAATTGTAAAAATCCAAAAAAAACGAAAAAAATGCTCGAAATAAAGCCGCTATTCACCTTTTTCTAGTTGTGGTGTTCAGGTGTATAGGCAGCTCGGTTTGTTGTTTTGTGCGGCATCAGCTAGCGGTTACACTCCGAATATTTTATTTATATTTTTTCATTTCTTTTTATTTTTATTTTATTTTTCAAAAAGAAAAAGAGGGTTTATGTACACCCAGATTCTCCTGCTCACCGTCTGTACACCTCGCTCTAGACATGAATCTAGGGTTTAGGGTTTAGGGTTTAGGGTTTAGGGTTTAGGGTTTCTGCATATGTTGCAATCCTTGACGAATTTTATCCTCGTTCGTTGACAGCACGATGATGCTTCTGGGTGAGATATTTAAGGGTTTAGGGTTTACTGTTTTTTCTATTATATATTATATATTATAAATTAGGGTTTAGGGTTTAGGGTTACTTAGATATAGAGATAAACCCTAAACCCTAAACCCTAAGGTTCTCTGCATGGTAGCTGAGTGTTGTAGATTATTTAACGCGTTGTTCAAGGCCTAGGGTTTAGGGTTTAGGGTTTGGGGTCTACGGCTTAGGGTTTAGGGTTTGTATATTTTTGTAGGTATTTTGCTTGTTGGTGCCCTTTGGGGTGTCACTACACCTCTGCTGCGGCTCGAGAGTAAAGAGGAGGAGAAGCAGCAGCAGCAGCAGCAACAGCAGCAGCAGCAGCAGCAGCAGCAAAAAACAAACACGAGGATGCCGTTGCTGCTGCAGTTGTTTCTACGCTGGCGGGTGGGCTCCAAACCCTAAACCCTAAACCCTAAACCCTAGACCCTAAACCCTTATGAATCGAGTTCGTACTGTATGGATTCTGTCGCGGTGTCATCCTCAAGGTCAAGCTAAAATCTAGGGTTTAGGGTTTAGGGTTTAGGGTTTAGGGTTTTTTGTTTTTTCAGTTTGTGGTTTTGTATCTCCTCAATCAACTCGGCTCGATCGTCTTCTATAACCTCCTAGGCAGCTACGGTGAGGCGCTAGCTAGCTAGCTAGCTAGC